GTAGACACTGACCTCTGGTGGCGTATGTTGTGCACTACAATACATCTCCCCAATACAGCATCTCTGTATCAGTTTAATAGAGAGAAGGGCATCTATATTTTTGACGGTATTGAAAAACAAACCTTAAGGATTTTAAAATACCCTGATCCTGCCCTAGCCTATAGCTGTGCACTGTATAAATATAGTATATATAGCAAATATTCTGTCCCCAAGGCATGCCAGAGGGCAAGCCAAAATCTCAAGGCACACCTGTATTTATTCCTGTGCACAATAGCTTCTATAACACATGTTAGCACTCTTATCATGACATAAGACAATAAAAATAAGACAGGTAGATTTCTTGATACTGTTTACTGACAGGTTTTTTTTTTTTTTTTGTCTTTTCTTTCGATGGTAGGGCGTCATCGCTGGTGCTTTGCTGTAATTTGCTCCGTCCAATAAAGTGATCCATTGTCCCACTCACAGCTTTCTCCTTTTAAAAGATTATCATCCCTCACACTGGCTACTGAAGTGTCACACACTTATAATTCCCATGCACAAACTCAACAACTAGGTTCCCCGTGAAGGACTTTTAAATTCAATTCGATTAAATTACATTTTTTAGCTAGAGTTTGCCTCTTCATTAGGAAATGGGTGCACACAACACACTGATAGAATCAATCAAAAATTCATTTGTAACTTTTTGTGTAGATGCAGTTGAATATTGCAATAATGATAATAATAATGTGTGGTTATCACAAAATCCCACTGCACACCAGAGACCTACTACTGTATTTACATTATGACCTCATAACCACCTGTGCCTGACCCAGACCTGACACCAAGAAGAAGGTTTAGGGTAGGTTATATAAAGATGACGATAATGTTAGAAAGATAGAAGAAATATTAAAATAAGAATAAAAAACATCTTTAGGCAACAAAATAAAGTGCATTAACATCAGTGGACCAACATCAAGCCACAGAGCCCTTCTGTCCAAATCAATCAGAAATAATTAATAAATTAATTTCATCTCTAGACATTTGCAGCCTGTGTGCATACAACTTATTATCAACTGTAAACAAACCTGTCTTAGCGTAACCTTAAGAATTCACCAGCGGGGAGAACAAAACTCATAATTAAACAAAAATGACAAACAATATACAAAAAAAACAGCTGAGGACACCGTGGCGGGTGCAACAAGCATTATCAAGCTACATGAATGAAATTGCCTGACACTTTAACAGCAGAATAGAACATGGACACAGCAGGGATGCACAAACAACATAAACTCCACAGCGGCTGCAGCAACAAACACACAAAGCAAAAAGAAAGCACATTGTCTCACACCAGCCAACACATTCTCACTCCACCCTCGTCACATACCGACATTTGGTCACAGACTTTCCATGTCGAGATACCACATGCAAGGTACCCTGGGTGTGTCAGTTGTTGATGTTGTGATGCTATGTCAAATTCTGCCTGTGACATGCATTGTTTTCAAAATACACTTCTGTTTTCACAGGAATCGTAAAGTTTGCATACAGTCTCTTTCAAAACATAAGCACTACGTTGGTACAAGACCCTTCCTTCAACAGCAAAGGCACATGGGTACGTTAACCTAACACACACACACACACACACACACACACACACACACACACACACACACACACACGTGTTTTGGCAACAAAAGCATATGGTTGAGTTTAGGAAAAAAGAACAGTGTTTGGCTTTACAATCTTACAGGAAATGACCACTGGCCTTACGGGTGAAAGTCAGTGGTTGCTGGACCTATCCACCACCCATCACGTAGCTACGCCCGACCCAGACTTCTGCCACCTCAACTTTCGTTGTTGTCCCACCACGTTTCCCCCTGATGCTGCCGGGCGCCATTAAACAATAATGGCAACCAGCCAGGTGGCATGCCGACGTGAAGGTTGGCTTTCTTTAATCAGCGTCTGATGCCGGAAGTCACTGACCAAGTGCCGGATTTTGACGACTTTGGAGTGAGTCCAGGTTACACCAGCATACGCATGCACGCATCAAAGTGTGCAACAGCTTCTTCTTTTTTTTTCTTTTTTTACACTATTTATTTCTGATTTTAAGGAATGATGATAATGATGATTAGGGATAGACCGATATAGATTTTTTAGGGCCGATGCCGATACCGATTTTTTTCCATCACCCTTAGCCGATGACCGATTATGGACTGCCGATTTTCTTGAGCCGATATTTGGGGCCGATACTGCTTTTGCTCCCTCAATTTACATCAAAAAAATGACACAATGATAACAAATATTACAGGTCTCAAGTTTAAAATAAGAAACATTTATTGAACACTAAAAAATACTAAAACAAGATGGAAAGTTGAGGTAGAATATTATTATTATTATTATTATTATGCATTCAAATAAAAAAAAAGAGTTCAGTGCTCTTAAATCTTCCAGTAATGTCTTTATAAAATAAACAAATATTTAAGCTGAAGCATAAATAAAACAACAACTACTGTACACAGTAGGATTCGCTGCATGTGCGCTGTAGGGTCTTCCGGCAACACAGAGCTGCCCGTGGATGCCTGTCTGTAAATCATGCCAGGGAAAAATAAATCCGCGAACCCACGCGCGTATCGGCCGATGCCGATACAAGTAAAAAAACTCAAATATCGGCCCGATATATCGGCCGGCCGATGTATCGGTCTATCCTTAATGATGATGATGTTTTTTACATGCTTGTTTTATTAGTTGGCTCGTCATCAGATGCAGCACTCCTGATCTCATTTTATACTCCTTGTACAATGATAGTAAAGGGTTTCTGTTCTATTCTATTCTACTCTACTGTGAGTGAACTCTGCTATACTGCCTTAGTTTTTGAAAGGGGTGTTGGGGTGGGGGTTGTGATGATGATGATGATAATGTTATATGATAAAACTAAAACACATGCCCATCTACACTAGTGGGACAGCATCAAACCTTATTTACAAAGCCTTTATTTCCAAACCAACAATTAATTAATTTTCTACAGACATTAACTGCAGTCTGTGCTGACTGATTATCAGTTACAAATAAACAACCACCTCCCTCGGTGAAGCCTCTCAAAATATTAACCAGAGACAAAAATGACCACCAAAATAATACCAAAAAACCGTTATGGACATGCAACAAGCATTATCAAGCCACATAAATTAATTAACCTGACAGTTTCACAATAAAATACACATCCCCAGGACAAACAAACAACACATGTATTTATATAAACTCCACAGCAGCTGCAGCCACAAACACACAAAGCAAAAAGAAAGCTGCACAAACATTTCTAGGCAACTCAGTGATAGTTGAGCGCTCCTCTACACAGTGAGCTACGTGACTGACTCACCTGTTTGCACGCCACTGCATGAGACTCCCGCGCTGCAAAGTCCTCCAAACCCTGCCCCAGCTTTAACCTCAGTTCCTTCATTCCGGTGTCAAATATAAGCAGCCTGCTCAGCTCAGCCTCTCTGCTCCCTGGCTCTGCGGGTTATTGTCAAAAAACAGCAGAAAGGCCTCACACACCTCACCGAAGGTAAACGTTCCTGAGGTCACAGATAGAGGATGCACCACGTGTAGGATATGATCGCGTTCACCAAGTTAGCCACAGCCAGGATGCACCTGTTGGTCACGCGACATAGGCGTGTTTGATTTGTGTCACTTGACGTAGGCTACTCACCGGGTGGCGATCAAGATCAATGTGACCTTTTTTGGCCACGTTTTATTATGGTACAGATCATTTACTTAAGGCATGCTTAACTAATACATGACTAATGATGATCTGCCCTTAACAAATGATAGAGTCACTATGACTTTATAGATAGGTCATCAATTAAAAAATGTTAATTCACAATTACTTCACACATTCTGCACACACACACAGCTGCATTGAAGTTGCATGGAAGTTTATTTCAGACCCAAACTTTTGCTCAGCCTCTAAAAGAAAAACAGTATTTTTATCAAACTGGTCACAAGATGCAAACATTTACATGTTGCTGCATGACCCATGTGCATGGGGAAAAAGGGGTGGATCATGAGTTAATATTGATGTTAATTATTATATTTGATTATTGTGTTTGAAGCACAGAGACAATGGTGAAGAATGATGCACTGAAACTAGTGCAAATTATCACAGCTTGGACTGCAGTGGGAGAAACAGCTTTAGATTTCGGTGAGAATAAGAACTGCCAGACGCTCTAAAGTCTTCTGAAAATATGAGAGGTGGAAGCTGTCAATTTATAGTTTACTGTAGCTGTGAAGAAGCTGTCGACATTAGATTTTATGACAAGTCAACTTTTATTACATACACCATCAATCATCAGTGACAAGCATGCTTCAGTCTCAAAGAACTGCATTTTTGTTTTTCACCTTTTGTTTCTCCATAGTTTACAATAGGCCTACATATAATATGGAAGGGTTAGAAACTGAAGTAACAGAAATAATGAAAAAGTAAAAGTGAGAAATAGAGGGTAAAGACTAAGGTTTTCACTGGATAAAGACAAACATCTTCCACCCAACAAGACTGCCTTTATAGACAGTATTATTACATAAATAGTGAGGACTGAATGTTGAGAATAAATAAACCAAACATGCTGATTTTTTTGGATTAATTCATTCAAATTCTGATGACATCATAGACCTCATGATACCTTGTTCAAACTATAAGTTGAAGCTACAAACATTTCTGGGGAATGAAGTCAGTTCAGATTAAGGCTGCAGATGTGGAGCTTTAAACACTTGATGAGGGGGCTTTTTTTCATTGAATTGTAAATCAGTCATTGACTTAAGCTGTTTACTATCTCCACCGGTTACATCGTGTGTAGTGAAAAGCCTTTAAACAGGAGGAACCTCAGTTTTAGGAATGTGCCTGTGTTTGAACTCAGCCCATTAAATCAGTCACAGAGCTCCAAAATGAGATTAGGCTACTTGAGAGGAACTCCTGCATTTGACCAAAATAGGAAACTATATTTCACAAGAAATACCTGTTGCAGCAGAGGGGGTGTGTGATTTTGTTATCCACTTTTGAATTTTATCAGTTTGGCCTTTTTAACTTTACCTTTTAAGTTGCCTGCCTGAAGCTCCTGATTGATTTTCAAGGACCACACATAGACGGAAAGTGAGTAGATCTTATGTCAGTAGGGATTTACACTGAGACATTATGCTCAAGCACATTTTTTTCTCCATTACAAAGTATCCTCTAATGCCATTGAAGCATAGTGCTCCTTTTAGAAACCTAAAAAACTGACAACAAAGTTAATGTGGTTTTGGCACAAAAGCATTCGCTTGTAATTGTCCAGTTAAGCACCCTCCCACGGTGAGGAAAAACAGAGGCGCTTCTCCCAAAACGCGCAATTCTTTCCCGCACAGTTGCGTAAAATGGTGCAAATGTACAGTTTGTTATGCGTTTTCTGTGGAGCGCACGGTTTTTCTTGCAATGATGCGTCATGCGCGCTTCACAGGCTCGTGTTTAGGTATGTTTGGTCAGTGCATGGGAGAGCTGTGTGTGGCGCAGAGGAGGCAGGAGATGACTGCTGCCCCCCTCACTTTTCCACTGAGCCCTCAGGAGAGTGGAGGGAGAAGGATTTCATGGGGTCTGTACGGCTGCACAGTGAGCGGTTTTCTCTGATAAAACATCTCAGCGGTGATTTGGAAACGAAATTGCAGACACGCAGTCACACCATGCAGACGTAGACCATTCAGATATATTTTTTAATGTAAAACTCTTTCGTGAGTTGCAGTTACAAGTGATCTGAAGCCTGCTATGGAGGACCTCTTGAGTCAAAATGAGTCTGAGCACTGACAATGTCACAAACTTGTGGAAAAATGGTTCCTCGGAACTCGGCGGGACTCCGGGCGCGTCCTACCCGGTCAACTTCACCAACAGCTCCGGGGGGAACCACACGGGGGTGGACCTCACCAGAGCCATCCCGCTCGGCTTGGTGCTGGGGGCTTTCATCGTGTTCGCAATCGCGGGCAACATCCTCGTCATCCTCTCGGTGATGTGCAACAGGCACCTGCGGACACCGACGAACTACTTCATTATCAACCTGGCCATCGCCGACCTGCTGCTGGGCACCACGGTGCTGCCGGTGTCGGCCACTCTGGAGATCTTAGACTACTGGGTGTTCGGCAGGATCTTCTGTGACATTTGGGCGGCGGTGGATGTGCTGTGCTGCACCGCGTCCATCATGAGCCTGTGCGTAATATCCATCGACCGCTACATCGGAGTGAGCCACCCGCTGCAGTACCCGGGCATCGTCACGGAGAAGCGGGCTCTGCTGGCCATGCTCGGGGTGTGGGTGCTGTCGGTGGTCATCTCCATCGGACCTTTGCTCGGGTGGAAGCAGCCGCCGTCGCCGGACGACACGGAGTGCCCCATCACCGAGGAGCCATTTTACGCGCTCTTCTCCTCCCTCGGCTCGTTCTACATCCCTCTCATCGTTATTCTGGCCATGTACTGCCGGGTGTATATAGTCGCCAAACGGACCACTAAGAACCTGGAAGCCGGTGTGATGCGCGAGAGGATGAACTCCGGTGAGCTGACACTCAGGATCCACAAGGGCTCTCAGGTGCACGAGGAGCCAGGTAGTTCAGGCACCGGCAAGGGCCGCGCGCACCAAGCGAGGAGTTCCCTCACGGTGAAACTTCTGAAATTCTCCCGGGAGAAGAAAGCGGCAAAAACTTTGGGAGTTGTGGTCGGCATGTTTACGCTTTGTTGGCTGCCCTTCTTCCTCGCCTTACCCATAGGTAGGTTCAACAGGTTGTCCATACTGTGGTCTGTTACACTGTCATAAATGAAACCACCACGTCCTTTTCCTCACAACACACTCCCACTTTTTAAACTTTCTTACATTAAATTAGCTAATGAGACTTCCATAAAAAGGCATTTCAGCCATTTAAATGTCTGTAGAAAGTTAAACTGAGGAGTTAAAAGCTGCAGGCCTTGTAAATCATATCTATAGCTCTCACTTGGAGAGTCTCCTGGGTAGAATTTACTGCTCTGAATTGTCACCAAACCTATGAGTGGGCTTTGATTTACTTTAGTGGTCATTTTATAGGCCTACTGCAGGAGTAAAAAATAACATCCCCCATTTATTATTGCAGCATTCAATATAAATGGCGCAGAAGGGGTGGATCTATATTATTTCTATGACTTCACAGCCTCTGTGTATGTAAGTAAGTTCGATTGCATCATATTTTATGTCACAGACTTTAAAATTGGACCAGCTTTCAAATGTTCCAACTCTAAAATGCCAAAGCCAACACTGGCGTTGAGATCTCTAAACTCAGAGCCCGTAATATGGGATAGAACATGTTTTCAAGAGGCTGAGAAGGAATTCTTCACAGTCTTATCCAAACATTATTTGTGTTATCTTTGCATTGATTCCCTGAGTCTCAGTTAATCTGCTGTGCAACAAATAGCTGGAGTGTGCCAAGTGAAAAGTAGGTGGCCTCCCTCTGCTCTGGTCGGTTTGTTCAGAGGCCTGTGGGGCCCGCTTGGGCTCCCTGATGCCACCGAGACTGGCAAGCATTCAACACCCCGCTGTCATGGCTGTTTAAAAACCTGCAGAGGAAATTAAACAATATATTCTGTGGTGAAATGCTCATGCTGCGGGCTGTGTTGTGGCGAGGAGGCTAAGAAAATGTCTTTATTTAGTGATGGAGTCTGGGCTCACGGAATAAAGTCTCAGCTACAAGCATGGCTGCTGCATTTTAGAGGATTGTTCCCCTGATTGGCAGGGTGATGATTCCTTATGACACTGTAGATAATGGTTATATATATTTGTGAGCATGTGTTTGTGTATCGGCGTGTGCCTGTGTGTGTACACATTTACTGTGGTCAAATGGGAATGTGTTGATGCCCCTGGCATCAGTCTGCAGCTCATCACCTCCTCACATGGACACACACACACACATTAGTACCTAGGGCAGGATCACTACGCAGTGTCACATAGCTGGGGTTATTTTGCCTCGAGGCGTTTTTGGTGAGATACCAAAGGCACGTAACAAAATATAATTTTCCAAAGTTCTGATTTTCAGATCTGAGAGGCTTCAGAGAGCAGATTCCAGGGAGGGAGTTGAGGTTCAGGAGGGGCCTGTTTATGTAACACTAATCAACAAACTGCCAAGAAACCCCCGGAGGGTACGTTTCTGTGTACAATCTCTGGTGTAGCATACTGATACATTGTCACAGAGCACCATGCGACCTTATTTCATGCTCATTTTTAACTGGCCTCAGAGATGCATGAAAGGCAGGCATACAAAGAAGTCCACAAATCTTCTGGTGAAGAATTCCACACAATGCGTCTACTGTATATAGATTTATATATCCGCCATGTCAAAGCAAAACACTGAAACTGCTCTCAACACTACAGGCTCATCTGTTTGCAAGGGGGTATCTGTGGAGATATTGTTGTTCAGTTTATGTTTGTGCCCTGCTCTCTTGTATAACTCTTGTCAGAACTTAAATATTCTGTGATAGGGCAGCAGCTCTCCGCTCATGTTGCTCCGTGAGTATTCATTAGCCTCCACCCACAGTGTGGGATTTCCTGTCTCACACTTGTTATTACCCTGCACCTTCCTCTGCATACTGTCACTGATATGTAATGTATGTGGGGGGTTTTTTGGTTGACGGTGTGTACGTACCAGTGGCAGTGGACGGCACGTGTGTTTTGTTTGTGAGTGTGTGTGGAGTGCTGGAAATTGTATGTTTGTTTATGTCAGCATGTTTGTGTGTGTTTGTGATTGTGTCAGTGTGGCTGCAGCTTTCTGAACAATTTTAAAGCCAGAAAAGGTGAAACTGAGGCTGGATGCCGCCAGCAAGATCCACTGCAACCTCTGACCCCTGAGGTCTCAACCTGAGAACATCTGCAGCTTAAAGACACATGGGAATTCTGTTGTTCACGGCTGATCTGACCTATCTGATCCTAAATCTTGTAAACACCTTGTATTTGTTTTTGCACATAAATGGCAAGCATACAGCTACCAGTTGCAAAGTTTGAGTCAGTCCTTTTCAGGTTCTGAATTATCGTGTCTCCTTGTACGCCTTTAACTTGGAGCAAAGTAAGGTATACAGACTCCAAGATTATAAACATTACATCAAAGTTTTTTAAGTTAGTGTTGCTCCAGGCAAGCTTCCTTGGACAAAAAGCAGTCCAAAATTTCACACACACTCACTGAGAGCTGTCTAACGTAGCCTGTTTGTCAGTAAGGGTGACATATCTAAACTTAAAGTTATTTCAGAACATTCTTGTATCACATTATGAAAAAAAAACACACTGTAACATTTAATTGCACTGCAATAATCACAGTGCAGGAATTGACCATAAAAGGCTGTTTGAGGAGCCAGACACAATGAAAGCAGTCAGAGTTGTACTAAAATGCTTATAAAACCTTCTATATGATTGGAGCAGGTTTTTAAAACATCTCTTTATTGAATTTTCAAAATATTCAGGTACACAAAAAACAAAGTCACCACATGATACACAATATACAACCCTGATTGAGCAGTCTTATCTTTAAAGGGGCTCTGTGTGTAATTCAGAGTGAATGAGTTGTCTGCACACATTTCTCAACGTGGGGGTGGCTGAGCCGACAGCTCGCAGCTAATGTTGCTAACTTCCTAAACAGTGCTGACAGAGTTAACAGTGTTAACCAGCAGGGAACCAGAGGGTGGGTACTACGCTTCCGTAATGGCCCCGTCCTGATATCAGCAGTGACTGCCGCGTGAGTGCAGTGCAAAGCAGCAGTGATGAACTAGCCAGTGGGATACACACATGCACACACAGTCGGACAGGCTACAACAACAAACCACAGAGAAGCTCGGAAATCAAAACCCACAGATCCTCTGCGCAGGACGCCATTGCTTTGCTATTTCTTTACATAGCAAATAGTGGTTTATTGCTGTATTAATGCTCTGAATGTCGCATACAGAGACTTTAAAAACAATCTGTGTCACCTTTCAAATTGCACCCGTCCCACCAGCAGGTGGCCATTTCATAGTTGGAGGGGGACAATAAACAGTAAAATTTTAGAGAATAATTCCAGGTTGGGGACAAGGAAAAAAAGTTGTAGCCTGTCTTTTATGCAGCATATTTTACCGCAATTTGACACTTTAATCTTCTCTCTATCTCTCCAACAGGCAGAGTGAATGTCTATACTTATGAGAAATGGCTTAACAACTAAACATTTCCTGCAGTTAAACTGGTAAACTGGTTTATAAACAATGTGCTGTGAGATCTGCCGCTGCGCACCTCACAACCGTGCGTAATAGTCGCGCATAATGACCGCTCCTCGTCCGTTAGACTGCACGTCTTTCATGTTTGTCTCACTGACAGGTGGAGAGCCTACAGACAGGTACCCATTAGCTATGAGCCAAGTAGCCCCACCTGTTGGAAAGAGTGTGGGATATACCACTACTAGGAATGGGAGGGGGGGACTAAATCTTTTAAGATTTAAATAGCACATTATTGCACGATTATAATGAGCACTGCTTACATTGTGCTTTCAATAAATACTACTGCATTGTTCAAAAATTATTAATTGTGTCTCAAATTATTCTAGGGGGGGACAGCTTTACTGAAGGGGGAGNCCCCCCCCCCCCCCCCCCCGGGATTTCCGCCACTGCAACTAATCTACTGAGCAGCTTAACATTTTTCAGACACAATTCTAGTCCGGATAGAAAAGTTTCCACACATTAAGTGTATTTACTGCAGACTGACAGGGAAATGTATGTGGCAATTATTTACAAGATATAAATACATTCACTAAAGAGCAGTCAAAAAATGATACTTTGACTTTTATGAGTAACAAGCAAAACTGAAAAACACACACAATAAATTATTGGATTCCTAAAACATAGATGAGTTTTAAAATACTCACTACAAGCACAACATTGCCTCAAAGAAACAGCAGAAAAGTCAGTAAATGAAATCGGGCTCATCTTGACACACTGAAGGACTAGACTCAAATTGTCGGCAGCTACATCTGCACACAGAGCTGAAAACAAATGTGCAGTACAGGAAGATGTATGTATAAAGAAATCATAGGCCTACAGCTGGGGCTGCAACTAACTGTGTTCGTTTTTATTACCCTGCCAGTTGTTTTCTCAACTGATTAATGGTTTGGTGTATAAAATGTCAGAAAGTAGCAAAAAAAAATGCCTAAGATGATGTTTTAATAATGCTTTTTTGTTTGTTTGTTTGTTTGTTTGTTTGGTGTAGGACAAGTAAAAGTGAGAAATCCTTACATTTTTAGGCTGACACAGTTTGGCTTGAAAAAATGAAATCAACTGACAATTAATTAGTTAGTAAAACTACTGCCAGCTCATTTCCTGTTCATCAATTTATTGATTTACTGACTAAATGCAGGTAAACAGTGATAGGTAGAGTAAACAAAAACACTACTTAAATAAAAATATTGTTACTTTTTAATGATATTGACTGAAGTAGAGAAGTACTCATAAAAATAATCAACTTAAATAAGGGTAAAAACGATCCTGTAAGTGGTTAGTAGCTTCATTAGATGCAGTTTATTTCATCAGCGTATTACATTCACACAGGTCCTCAACAGATGATAACAAATGTGAAGTGCACGGAAATTCATCTAAGTGCCATATCCCCCATACCGAGGGGGAGTTATGGAGCAGCGAGGGATCTTATCTCTTATCTTATCTTTGATCTCATAGACTATAGTGACACATCATAGACAGCCTGTCACACAAAGCAGTCACATCCCAAACTACCCAA